AGGACGAGATGATGAGCCTGGGGCGGATCCGCAGGTGCCTGGGGGGACAGCCCTCCTGGGACCCAGAGGGGCCCTGTGGGGCTGCCCCACCCCAGAATGGAGCCCCTCTCCGAGGAAAAGGTGTCCAGAGGGCCATGGTGGGCAATCTGCATCTCCCCACTACAGATCCTTCCCAGGGGCCCTGGGAAGGGTCCGCGGGGGAGGGCAGGGGGTTCAGAGCCTGGTGGGGGTCGAGAAGCTGGTGGCGAGACTTCCCGCACCACTCTCCAGGAGAGCAAGCATCCCTACCTCTCCACTTTAAATCCTTGCTGTTGCTGCCGCGGACTCCACCCCATCTTCTCTTGGTCCATATGGAAGCCAAGTGATAACTAATCAATCCATTGATCAGTTGATTTATCGCCTGGCGGTCACAGTATCTCTCAGCAGGTGCCCCTCCAGATGGGCAGACGGCACCTTGCCCAGGTGTCGGGAGGAAGGGTGGGTGGGTGAGCCCATAGGTCACACGTGTGGGAGGAGGCTGGCTCTCTGGGCCTTCCACACACTTGTCCCGACCCCCAGAGCTTCAGTTCCACCAGGGAACTGGTGTCAAGCTGGGGGCAGGGGGGAGACCAGGGCAGGTCCCTGCCTCAAAGTGTCCACAGGTGGGCCAGAGAGTTCAAAGGCACGGGCTGGGTGCCCAGGTGTTGGGTGCAGGTGTGGAGGGGCTGTTTGGGGGCCCTCAGGGCGTGGGGGCTCTTCATCTCTGTGCCTTCCTAGCCCAGAAGGACCCCAGTCAAGGCAGCAAATCTGGCAGGACCGGGCTGTGGTCGCTCCCCCAAGCAGGGGGAGCGGGAGAGGGAGAAGCAGGCTTCCCGCCGAGCAGGGAGCCCGACGCGGGGCTCGATCCCAGGACCCCGGGACCATGACCTGAGCTGAAGGCAGACGCTTAACGACCGAGCCACCCGGGCGCCCCTGAAGGACGCGTCTTCAAAGAAGGGTGACACTACATAGACACAGAGCAGAGCTTCGCTTCGCACACACCCCCTTTCCTCTGGCTCTGGGTGGAGAGTGAACTGCGGGTACTTTGGGGCCAGAGATCAGGGGAGAAATGAGGGGATGGAAGGGGATGGAAGTGGCCCAGATACCTGCTCTGTGCTGTGGTTTGGGAGGACCCCAAAGGCCCAGGAGGCCCACTGTGCCCGCGGGAGCTCTGGGCTGCTGAGCAGGGGCGACGCCCCCAGTCCGGTGCCCTGGCTGGTGGGAGAGTGGCAGGGAGGGCCTTGCAATGCTCCTGTCTGTCTGGATAAGCTTGCTTCCCTCGGAGCAGAGCCTCAGCTCCTCCTGGGCTAAGCACCTGCCAGGCCAGCCGAGCAAGGGGTCCCGCCCTGGTCCCAGAAGCCGGTGGAAGAAATGCACTGCAGCCGGGGGCTTTAGGACATGATTTATTGTGCTGGGGGAGGGGTGGCAGAGAGAAGTGGTGCACGCTCTTTGGGGAAGGCCCAGTACGTGGAGCATGGGCCCCCCCACCACTGGCACTCCTGGGCGGGATCCTTCCTTGCAAACAAGAGGGCAGGTATAGTGGGGTGAGCACCGTCTTCTGGCCTCTTCCCGCCCTCCCTGGGCCCAGCCCCAGGGCACCACTCTGTTCCTCCCCGCCGCAGCCTGCCGTCCCACCTTGATTCTGTGCTATCACCCCACTCTGCTCCCAGGATGAGGGCCCCACCGGGCAGCCTTCTGGACAAGAGAGGCCTCCAGGGGCCAGCAGGGCACGGGGCACTGCGTGGTCTGGGCAGTGGCGTCCACGCCTGCCCCTGAGTACTCACCTAGGAGAAGGCACCAGCGCACTGGTCTGCGGGAGAGAGTGGGGCCTGAGGAACCACCTGGGGCCCCCTTCCCCAGGGGTGGAGGCCCCCAACCCTCCCTGAATAAACAAGCCCCCCAGCCTGCGAGCCATCCCCACCTGGGGGGCCACCAGCCAGGGCACCGTCCAGCCCTCCTCTGGCCCAGATAGGCCAGGGCTGCCCCTGAAGCTGCCGCCCCGTCCCTGGGGGGAGCCTTGGGGCCTGGCCCTCCCAGTCTGGGTCTGGGGTCTGCCGTGGCCCTGAGCCCTGCCCGGTAGCACTCACCTGACCGGGGCAGCAGGGCGCCCTGGCTGGGGTTCAGGCCTACTTGGGGTACCAGCTGTTGCATCTTCTGGGCCCCTTCGGGAAACAGCTCTGGGGCGCGGGCTGAGGGCAGGGCCGACTGGTGAGCAGAGGGGCAGGGCGGGGCAGAGGGGCTGGGAGGGGCTGGGTGCGGAGGGGTCCCAAGGAGACACTGGGGGACAGTGGATCCCCCTGCCATGGAGTTGGAACTTGCTGGAATGTGCCCAACTGTCCAGACCAGCCTTGGGCGCGGGGCTCCTAGAGGAGAGGCCGTGCCCGGTGACTAGTGGGGGCACAGGGGTGCCGGGAGTGCCACCGGGCAGGGCTGCCCACCGTATAGCTGCAGCCAGACGTTCCTGACGCCCCCCTTCTGCATCTCCACATACAGCACTGCGAAATGCTTGTAGTCGGTGGACACCACGCGGATGTCGGTCTGCGCCATGGCTGAAGGGCGAGAGCCGGCTGAGATTGCTGCCCCGGCCGGCCCCCGACCCCCGCCTGGCTCGGGAGCCCTCCCTGCCCTGCCCTTCTCACCCTTGTTGCTGAACTGCCCATCCACAGCACCCTTAGTGAAGGTTGTGTCTGTCTTCTGGCACCCGCCATCGGGCCTGGGGAGGAAGAACCACACCATCCTGAGCGTCCTGCACACGCCGCCCAGCCACGTCCCAAAGGGCCACCCCTTGGGCACTGCTGACCACGTAGGGTGGGCCGGTGCTCAGGCTGCCCGGCACCCCTGGGCCCCCCTCACTCTGTGCTCAGAGCTGAGAGACCCTCTCAGGGGCGGGGGGCAGGTGTTGCTCAAGGACACACAGAGCCGGGAGACGTGGGGTCTCCCGAGCAGACTCCCACAGGCAGACACAGGGACGAGACTCCTCCGTGGCCAGGCCACGGGCAGAGGCATCCCCTGCGGACTGGGCCCCTCCACGGTTAAGCCCCTCAGCCTGACTCCACGGAGGGCCTGGGTCTGACTCCCTACGGTGCCAGGGATGCCTCTGGTTCTCGGTGGCTCACCTCTGGCCTCACACTGGCCGGGTCTAAGGTCCAGTCTGAGGTGGGGTTCGTGGGGTCACTTACGTGGAGTACCCAAACTTGAGGGCCAGGTCACCATCGGGCAAGGGTGTCACCAAGACCACGGGCATCTTCAGGTTGTCCTTGGAGTCCAGGAAGCCCTGGTCATCCGACACCACCCCGACCACGTACCAGATGCCCTGGAACTACAGGGAGGGTGCAGGGAGAGCTGGGGCACAGGCCCTGTGGCCACATCAACTCTGACCCAGCCTGGCGGCGGGTGGCTGCAACCTGTCCGGATCTGAGGCCCTGGGGAGTGGTGGTGGGCACGAGCCACAGACCAGCCTGAGGAGCCCGCTGTCCTCCCCACCCAGCCCACCCCCCAGCTGATGGGGCAGGTGGATGGGGCTCTCTCTCCTGTCCCCCCCCGACTTGAGTGGAGCCTAGACCAGAGAGTGGGGGGCAGGCCTGGGCTCCTCTGGCCCTCCAGCCTCTCTGGGGATAATGCCGGCCCCTGGGACCTGGATGGAGAAGCAAGGGGGTCATCCATGAGGAGGACGGGATGGGTCTGGCATGGGGGCGCCTGGGCCCACCTGGCTGGCATCAAAGTTGGCCTGGATGGGGACCTGGGCCTGGCCTAGGGACACCCTGAGCAGGGCGAAGACCCAGCCGATCAGCAGCATCTGCAGCATCATGGAGGATGGTTCTTAGCAGGAGAGCTGGGGTGGCCTCTCCTGCCCAGCCTTTATGACCCCCAGATGCCCTGGGGTGGCTGGTGTGCTGGCCTGGGACCAAGCCTACTGAGATTAGGCTGGGATCTGGTTGCGCCCTGCAGTGCACTGGCTCAGCTGTGTCCACAGAACCCCGCCCATCCCCGGTGGCGTTTCCTCCTGAGACTTCAGATCCTTCGATGCAGGGGGAGAACTTTTGGCAGGCTTTCTGGGATGTCTGCCCCCAGCTCTCAGCTCAGACTTAGCCCCCAGTCCCCCTCCTCCAGGAAGCCTGCCAAGAGGCTCACCCTCACCTCTGAGCCTCACAAGTCTTGGTGCCTCTATAGGGCCTGGCTGAAGTTTGCCAGCGTGGGGGCCTGGAGGGCAGGGTGCTGTGGGTGCTGCCCGCTGCGAGCCAGGAGGGCTCGGGGCAGGGCCTGGAACCTGGTGGACGGCGGGCGATGTGGGGCAGGGCTGGTCAGGGAGACCGTGCTCCAGGGCCCAGGGTGGCTTTGGGGCTGGGGGTCTGGTGAAAGGGTGGGGCCGGAGAACGGGCGACAGGAGTCACCGCAGTAGGCAGAGGGGATGGGAGGGTGTCCGGTCGTCAGCCCACTCAGTCTGTCCCAGTGTCGGGGGCATGGACAGGGCAGCCCCTTGGTCCTTGTCCTCTGGGACCTTGACCTCCGCCCAGGCTGAGTGTGCTAACCCCACACCTTCCCCAACACCCAGTGGGGGCAAAGCTTCCCTGGGCCTCAGGCCTCTCTAGACTTGGGGTGAGGGGGCAGGCCCCGGGCACCTGCCTAGGGATTAGGAGGTGACTGGGCCCCAGCCCGGAACCCGCTGGCTGGAGGGGCAGCTTGCAGGAGTGTGGCTGGAGAGGGTGTGGCGAGGTCAGAGCCCGGCGTGCGCTGGGGGAGGGCCGTGGCGGTACTGCTCCTCAGCGGTCCTGATTCCGACCTGCCCCACCAGGAGCAGACACTAGCGGGCCCTTTCCCACCCCTCGGCGACGTCACGGAGAGCCAGCCTCAGAGACTTTCCAGAGGGGAAGGGGAGACTGAGGCCCAAAGTGAGTGGGGTGTGGTCAGGTGCCCAGGGAGCAGGCCAGAGCTAGGCCATGGGCAGCGAGGACGGCAGGACAGACGGGCAGGAGCTGGACGGCTGATTTGCTTCCGGAGTTTATTCTCAGAGCCAGGAGAAAGCCAAAGGGCGCAGAGGTGGGGGCGGGGAGGAGCCAGGGCTGGGGCCTTGGGGTCTTGGAGGAAAGAGCGGAGCAGGGCGGGATGGCCAGGTCCTGGGGGCCGGGGTCTCCTGGCAGAGAGAGCGGGACCAGTGGGTGGGGCAGGCAACACCGCCCCTCCCGGCCACAGGGGAGCGAGCACCTCCAGACCCTCCCTTCCCATCGACCCCACCGGTTCCTATCCCAGCCTCCAGCTCCTCTTACCCCAGGAATCTCGTGAACCCCAGTGGAGCCCCTCCCCCCTAATTAACCCCCATGTGCCTGGGACCACCCTTGCATGGTGGGGTGAGTGTCAGCAGGTGTGAGGGGGGACTGCCGGGTGAAGCCAGCCCACAGCCCACAGCACTCACCTACTTGTGCCCCTCCATGCATTTATCTGCCAAGAAAGACCCCCAGGGACCATGGTCAGCGCCCCAGGCTGGGGCCACTTTCCCCACTGGGGCTACCTGCCCCCTCCCAACAGCCCTGGAGAGCTGGTGGCGTTGAGCCCCCCAAAACTGCTGAGTCCATCACACTCCGTCCCTCTCTCCCCTCCTCCAAACAAAGAGGGGGGTTCTGTCCCCACCTGGGCCCGGAGCAGGCTGCCTGCCTCAGGGGAGCCCTGGGCCCTGAGCCCCCCCCCCCCCCGTGTGTTCCTGCAGCACCCCACCCCCACCCCGCTGGGTCTGTTTCTAGTGCCCGCCCCCCGCCAGGCTGGAGACCCTGTGTCCTGAGGGCTCATCAAGGGCCTGGAACACCGGCTGCTTAGTGAAACTGGGGAGGCGGGGGGGGGGTGTTCCTGCAGAAAGAGTACCTTCCTGTGCCCTGCCCAGGGGCTGCAGGCCAAGGTCTCAGGGTGAGGACAGACTGCCCCCACTCCGGAGGCCACAGTGTGCTGGTCAGTGGTCAGTGGGCGGTCTGGCCGGATGCACGGCACCCCTCAGCCTCCCCTGAATCAGGACACTGTCCGCCTCAAATCTGACCTTAATCCCCTTCCCATCAGATTAGCAGCCCTCCTCACCGGTCTGTGGCAGGAAGACAATGGCATCCTCTGTGAAGCCCTGGGTCTTGGCAAAGGTGGTGAATTTCTCCTTTATCTCGGCCCTCGGGGTCTGGGTGCGGCCTGGGGCAGGAGGGAGAAGCCGCAGGCCTCAGCTGGGGAAGGTCTCTGCTGCTCCCACCCCTGCAGCTTGGGGACCCCCCCCAGAAGACACCCATCTCAGGCCAGACTGTGAGTCCCTTTTGTGGGGTGCGTACTGTAGAGAGTGGCCATGTGGAAGTCCTGGCCGAGGCCTTTGGTGCCCGCGGTGTAGAGAAGCGCGTACTCATCGTAGTTGGTCGCCACCACCCACACGTCGTGGGTACTGCCCCAGTCTGGGAATCCGTGAGAGAAGCCCGGTTGGGGACCCTGGCCCTAGACCTCCGGCCCACCTCTGCCTGGGAAGGGGTGCGCTCTCCCGGGGCTGGCTGTGGGAAGGAGCCAGGGAGGATCCCCTCCCCCAGCAGCCCCTGAACTCTGCAGGGTCCCGGGTCCTCAGACCAGACGTCCTGGGGGGCAGCAGACACACAGGATCCGAACATCAGGGGCTCATGTGCAGCCACAAACCCCTCGGCGGAAAGGAAGAGGAAAGATTTCCCAGTGGGAAGCCATCCCCAAGGAAAGGGGTAAATGGCGGGCTGGGGTGTGAAGAGGCCCCAGGCCCTGCTCCTGGACTGGAAAACCGTGGAGAGGAGTGAGGGGGGTTGGGGGACTGCCCACGTGCGCTCCGCCTGAGGAAATATCATTATGGGGGGCAGGGAGGGGCCTGGAGGTCAGCTCCGAAGGGGATCCAGTGCCCAAGAGAGGGTTCGTGGTCCCCCCACACCCGAGCCTGGGGCAGGTCCAGGCCGGACTGTGGACTAGCTGACCCCGGTGGAGTGGCCACCAGCCCACCCCATGTACTGCTGGGGCAGGCGGGTGTCCCTGGCCCAGGGCTGTGCCCAGCGGTCCCTAGAGGGGGCCCCACTCACGGGGACTGGTGTAGCTGTAGCAGCCCGGGGCTCCTGCCGGCAGCAGCAGCAGGGTCCGCGTCTCACACTGCTCTTTCCTGTGGGCAGGTCACCGAAGGGGTCATGGGTGAGGCCAGGGGCTGTCCCTAGACCGTGGTCATGGGGCGGGGTGCTCTGGGCCCCAGAAGCCCGGTGTCCCACCTGAGGAAGGTGGAGGTGAGGTTGAGGCCTCCGTCTGCGGTCGGGGCCACGACGGACATGCACATGGACAGCACATTCTTCTTCTCCCGGAACCAGCTCGAGTTGGAGGCGAGGCCCGAGGTGAACCAGCGCCCCAGGAACTGCGGCGAACGGACCCCGCCCGGGTCGGCCAGGACCCTCCCGGGCGGACCTGGGTAAGGGGCGGCCCGGCCCCTCCCCTCCTGCCTCCAACCGCGCCCCGCCCCGCGCCCCCGAGGGCGGTCAAGCGGCGCGCAGTCCCCTCCGCCCCGACCCGGCTGCTTCGGTGGCGGGAGCGGGCGGCAGAGGGCGCCCGGGCCGTACCCAGAGGGGTTGGGGCGGGCTCGGCTGCCCGGGGCCGGCCGCGGGGCCCCCGCGACGCTCAGGAAGGAGCGCGGGGCGGGGCGGGGCGGGGCGCGCGGGCCGGAGGACCGACTGAGCGTGTGCTGGACGCGTCCCTGCGCGCACTCGGGTTTCTGGGGCCATCCCCGTGGGCCATCCCCGTCGGCGCGCTCGCGCACCATGTGTCCTGGGACCCAGGTGTGGAGCCTGTGCCTGTTTTCCTCTGGGCGTCATTAGCTTAGCGGGGTGACCGTGTTTGGATGGCGGAGGCACGCGTTCGGCCCCGGGGGTCCGCAGGTGCCGCGTGCGCCCTCACGGACGCAGGTGCTTCCCTGCGGGTCTGGGTACAGTGGCTCTGCTCTCTTGGTTGGCGAATTGCCACAGGCCCAGGAACGGGGGTGGTTCTGGTCAGCCTCCTCCTTCTGCTCAGCTCCCCTCTTCCCAGGAAGACAACTCAGCCCCAGAGAGCGCCCCCCTCCCCTGATGGGGCCCTGTGCCGCCTGGGGGACCGGGCCGGGGAGCCCCTCACCTTATCCTGTTGGAAGTTGGGCTGCAGGGAGACGGGGGCCTGGGCCCGCGTCTGCAGGACTCCCAGGACCCCCAGCAGGACCAGCCCCATCCACAGCGTGTGCAGAGCGGTCATTGTTCTGGAGCCGAGTGTGTGACCAGGGCCGGGATGCTGGCAGTGCAGGCAGAGGGAGGGAGGCCGGCAGGGGGAGTAGAGGCCACTAGAGAGACCCCTATTTATGGGCCTGACTTGGCCTCCACCCAGGGCCCAAGGACAGCCCACTGGAGGCTCGTGATGCTGGGGGAGGACAGAGTGGAGGAGCCCAGCTGCAGCCTCGCTCCCCACAGGGCTGCTTATGTAAGAGGCTCTGACTGGGCGCCTGGGCCCTGCCACCTGCGCTGAGTGAGGGCAGAGGCCGGGCAGAGGCTCCTGCAAGGCTGGTCCCCTCTCCAGTCCCAGATGCAGCCCAGTAGATTGGATGGGGAGAGGGAGCGTGTGCCTCGGCACTGCCTTGCCTGGGACCCCTGGTCACTTCTTATCTGGGGCTGCGACCCCTCACAAAAGCCCTACCCTCATTCTCTCTCCAAGCCCGGTGACCCTGGGAGGGGATTTGCACTGCATGAGTTGGGTCCTGAACGGCCCAGCGGGCCGGATGGTGACGGCGGACTTGGGCCCAGATAACCAAGGTAACCGGATCTGCCCCCAAAGTCAGGCCCGAAGACCAGGCGTGCTGGGCACACCTTCCCCACCCAGCCAGCTGCTGAGGCTCTGGCTGGTGGTCCCCCGGGTACCCTTCTCAGCCTGGGGCCCCCCTCGTCTCAGGCACAGGCCCACTCTTTGTGTGTGGTTGCCGCTACACTGGTCCTGCCCAGCAGTCTGGCCCAGGAACACCATATGGACTCAGGCTGTCTCCTGGTACAGACACTGGGGTGGGGACTGCTCACAGCCCCAGGGTCTCCCTGCCAGCACAGGACTCAGGGATGCCCCCACCTTCAGAGGCTGCCCTCGGTGGACGGGCTGTCTCTGAGGTCCTGGGCCCTGTTCAGATATCATGGGTGTCACCTGTCCCTCTGCTTCAGCCCGAGGCCATCCCAGACCGGCGGGGCCCCAGCTCAGGGCTGAGTGGGGTCCACGGCTCTGACCACTGTGAGCGGGAGAGGCGTGCTATCCTGGGGGAGGCGAGGAGCCTGGGACGGGAGATGAAGCAGGGGAGAGCTCCTATGTGGGGTGCAGACAGCGGGGCTCTAGCTGTGGTCAGTGGGGGGACAAGGGCCGCCTGTCTCCAGACACAGGCCTAGCCCATTTGGGGGGTGCAGGCTCCTGTCCCAGGGCTTCGCCCAGAAGCTGAATTCTTGGCAGCCCTGGCCTCTGGCTTTGGAACGGCCCCACCCAAGGCTGTTCAGAAATGATCAAGGGGGAGGCATGGGGTCAGGTCAGCTCCCTGAATGGGACCAGCATGGGGCACTGCCGCCCACCTCGTGAGGCAGGAGGGCGGTCCCAGGTCCACAGGTGCCCTGGCAAGGTGGGGACATCTGCACCTCAGCTCCCACGGGCTTCCTGGCCCTGGCTAGGCCCTTGCTATGGGGCCATTGCAGGTGGCTGAGCCTGTTCTGGTGGGACTGGGTGGGCCCCTGCCTCCCCTTCTGAGGCTGGGATCTCAGAAATCCTGGAAAAACAGGTGTGGCAGTTCTGTGGGAAGGGTTGAGAGTGGGCTGCTGGGAGGGGCTGGGCACCCACGGGTCTGGAGCCTGCCGCTTCTGCCCCGGGCACCTTTGCTCTGCAGCCCTGACATCCAGGCCAGGGGCGTGAGGCCCCCTCCCCAGTGGCCCGGGGGTGGGGAGCACAGGCTGGAGCACTGTGGGGCGCCATCAGTAGGGCAGCCTGGGGGAGCAGCCGGCTGCGCAGTGCCACGTGGAGGATATCCTGCTTCTTCCCGGGTGCCCGGGCTGGCAGGGGGCTGTTGGCTTCCCTGGCAGGGGCCAATGTGAGGGGGTGGGGTAGAGAGAGACAGAAGACACCTGAGAGGGAGGTGGGAGTAGGGAGTAGGGAGGGGAGGGGGGCGGTGGTGCAGGGGAGGGGGGGGGGGGGGGGGG